TTGTCTGTTATAATATATATTTTATATATCATATAAACTTCTGGCAAAAATATTATTTATTTTAATATTATTTAATATTAAATTTTAAAAAACAAATTTTACTAAACAAAATAATAATAATTTAGTGGATTATAGAATTTAAAAGATTTAAAAAATGCGTTGAAAATATTTTTCAAAACTTAAATGTATAATTATTTTGTAAATTTCCATAAATTTTATAGTTAAGACAAATATTTTAATATATAAATACTATACTTTAAATTTGAATTATATTTATATTTAATTTTATTTATGATGCAAATTTATCGATATCTAAATTCAATGAAATTTTTTGTTATATTTGTTATATTTTAAAAGTTACCGGAAAAATTTAATGAAAATTTTTATATTGTCAACACTAATTTAATGACATTAGTCATTGCAAAAATATTTTAATGAAAACTGTGTTATACAGACCATAATCATAATAATTAAACAAAATGTTACTCATATTATTTTTTGTTAATATTAAAATATATAATCCTTTTTTGAAATATTATGTAATAAAGTTATGCAAAACAATATAATCTAAAATATGATTTACTTTATATATAACATTGTATGGGCACATAAATTATTAAACACAAAATAAAGCAAAAAAATGTTTAATAATATAATGTTTTAGGCTGTCATAACTATAAATTATATAAAACAATAAACTTGAAAAAATTATTTATGATTTTACATAATATTTAATGCATATTTGTAAAAATTATAAAGAAAAATAATATATGTTATATTTATCATATAAACTTAATTTTTTTAAATAAAATATTTTCTAAATTATTTTCTAAATTTTTAAAATTAATTACAATAATTTTCAAAAATGTAATAATATATTATTATTATTTTTATGATATACCATATATACGTTAAAATTTATATATCTTAAATCAGATAACAATAAGATTTATTTTTAAATTTTTTTTGTTGACATTTATTATGCATAATATTTTATATGACAAAATTTGTATAACATTTGTCAAAAATACTGTATATTATATGAATGTTGTGTCGTATAACTAACATATTTTGTCAAAAATACAGTTTCTCTTCTATTTTTTTTTTGTTAACAAAACCGGATTTCCTACTTATATTCATATGTATACCATATCTTAAGACACAACATATGTATATATAGCAGAATATTCTGACATATTATGTATGGTTTACTATTACGTGAATAATGTTTGGAAGGTTTGGCAACAATATATATATATATATAATGTTTTTAGGGAAATCAAATAATAGGTATAACTAGAAATGCTAATATAATTTAATAATTTATACATTTTTATACTCGAGTCATAAGAAAAAATTTCAAATATTTTTTTTCTTAAAATTTTTTATAAATAGTGCGTATAAATATTTTTTTTAATATAAAAAGTTTTTATTGTATCATATTTTAGTTAAAAGTTGTGCGCAAGTGTTTTCATTAATACAGTTTTATGCTATTAGTGTATATTTTCAATAATAGCATATTTTGTTGGCAAACATATAATATATTTTTAAGCCATTGTTTTGCATCAATTGTATTTCTCATTTGTATGAATTAAATCTTTTAATATATAACAATAGAGTAACAAAAAAATCAATGCATTTATTCATTTAAGGTATTCTTCACTTTTGTTGAAATTATTTTATATTTATAATAAAATGTCATTTTTTGTATTAAATACTAATCATAATATTACTTGAAGTTTAATGCCTCAAAAAACATATTTTATATATTAATTTATTCTATGGTATAGTTACTATAGTACAATAGCATATAATTGTATTGAATTTTTTATTATTAAAAAAATTTATGTTAAGCATGAATTGTAGTTTATTTTAGTAGCGATAATCACACATTAATTTAATTAATTTTACAAATTAATTCTTAACTCTATTTTAATTTTTAAGTTTTATTTTATAAACTAATTGTAATTTCTAGCACTACAATCATATATTTTTAAATAAATAATTTAATAATTATAAATTTTAAAGGAGATTTGTTCAAAATATTAAATAAAGTATTATAAGATATATACTAAAGTCAATAAATGAATTTTTATTTAACAATATGTTTCATAAAATTTTTATATTTACAAACAATGTTTTATTATTTTTATGATTATATGCGTGTAAAATATTATATAAAATTATAGCAAAGTTTATATATAAATACTATATATAAACAATTTTAAGATAATTTATGACTACACCCATTCAATTGAGTCACTCTTTTTATGCTATTTTATTATACCGGTGTTTAAAAAAAGTTACACATATTTAATGATATTTTAACAAATGTTGTACAAATTTTTATATACACGTTTAGTACTATTAGATATACTGTAGTTATTATTATATATATATATTATAGATTAGATTTTAATAAATGAAACTATTTTTACTTTTTAGTATTGTTATATAATATTGTATGCAACAGTATTTAAAATTATTCTTATTATTTTTACAGTTATAATTGTTTATCTATTATATTGATATAAACCAAAAAAAAAATATTGTATAACTAAAACAATAAGCCTTTTGTTTAATACTTTTTTTTGTTATAAAAATTGTTTGAACACAAAAAACTAATGATTCAGTGAATGAAATTGAAAAAGCAATGAAAATACAGAATATATATATATATATATATATATATTATAAAGAATACACAGAATATTCTAATCCTTCTCATTATTTTTCTAATGAATATATTTCTTACGTTTTTTATATCCCTTTTTTGACGTAAAACAATATTAAAATAGTTTTATATGTTTCTGTGATTTGTGTGAGTCATTCGAGTGTAACTTAAATTGTCTGCATTTATACAAAGTAATAGAAAAAAAAATATTTTTAATTTTTTTTAAATATGTTTCATTTTATGAATACTGTAAATACTATTATATATTAAATGTTAATATAAAACAAAAGAGAAATAAATTTTTTTCTAATTATGTGTTTTGTCAATGTTTGAATATAACACAAAAACTCATATTATTAATGCAACTATAATAATGTGTCGACACTGGGATTTGTGATCTTATAGACCATGTGCTGAGCTTTAGTGTAAACGAAATATTGTATGTCATTGCGGTGACACTATTGTATATACAGTATATATTGTACTGTATAATAATATTGGGCTTATATAATAATAATAATAATCAGTATTTTAATGACTAATTTAAAAAAAATACAATTTATCTTCATCATTGTTAAGTTATAAGTTATGTAGTTTATTATATTTATTTTCAATTGTATTTTTTTATTGAAAAATAATTTTTTATTATGTTTACGTAGTCATTATGTGATCATCAATTTGTTTATTATTGAAAATATAACTAAAAATAGATAAATTTGTATATAAAATTATTTTTATAATTAATATTATTTGTTGTTGTTGAAAATATTATAAACTTAATCATTAAATAAATGTGTTTTAACGTATAGATATCGGATAACTTATATTATACAAACAAAAATAGACTATTTTTATTACCAAAATTATTTATTTAATTTATCTAAACACTATGATGTTTATTACAGTTGCGATAAGACAATTGTAAATATTGGTCACAAATGTTTGAAATGATAGATTTGTCATTAAATACAACAACAAAAATAAAGACAATCAATTGGTTTGCAAAATAAATAGTGTTTATAAATACAAATATATAATAGTTTGAGAAAATAATAAAACATTTTCTCTGTCTTAGATCTATTTTGTATGTATTTGTAATACACCATTAGTTTCAATGTATAATATTCTTTCAAAAAAGTATATAATACGGTAAATATAGAATCTAAGGTTCAGTAAAAAATGCTTTTTTCACTTAAATTATCCTTTAAAAAGATAAAAAATCATTTGACTATAAAACTTGTACTGAGATAGATGCATATAAAGTAATAATAATAATAATAGACATTTTATACATTATTATACAGTATAATACTTATTACAGTAATTTTTACAAAATACGTTCAATGAAAAAAATCTATTTGCTTTATGAATATATATATATATATATATAGTACTGTATGTATAGTTTATACATGTATATGAAATGCATTTTTTAATAGCATAAGAACCCATTTTTTAGAAAAAATTTTGTTTAAGAGACATTCAAGTGATATTTACTTTAAATAGTTTTACAAATGATGGCAACTATTGAGCGTAAAAATAGTTTGTTTTGTGTGTTTAGTTATAAGTGGGGAGTAAAAACAAATTAAATACACTATTATTAATATATTAAATATGCAAAATAATTTCATATATTTGTTATTGTTGTCAATAATGATGGTGTAAATGAATGTTAAAAATTTAATTCTATATATGTGTATACATTTACAAGTTTTCATATCTGTATAACTGTAAGTATATCTACAGTATTATACAGTATATAACTTGAAAGCCTATGAATTCTATGAATTGTTAATTTCAATTTCTCATATTTAATTCAATACATTTGGTAAATACATGCATATAGTACTGTATATAATGTATATAAGTACAGTATTTAGTAGTTTGAATAATATTAATACATTGTCACTTAAATATTACTATATATATGCAGTGTATATATATATATATAGCATACTATTAAGTATACACACTGTAGGCAAACTGTTAAGCAAAAATGCATTTAAGGTTTTAATTTAGGAATAAAAATATAGTAAAATATAACATATATTACAGAATATTCTTTGTGATGAATATGTAATGAAATTTTTGTGTCAAAAAATTATTTTACTTCGATAAGACTTATGTATCTGTGTGTGTGTGTGTGTCAGTGAAATGAATATAAATAATAAATATATAGATTATATGTGCATAACATAAGTACAGTATATTTATATAGAGAAAAGCCTAATTCATATCTCTTTCTGTCATTTCTTTGCTGTCATTTTCTCCCATTTCCTTAACTAAACGCACATATATTCATCTAATGGCACCTGTATTGCAATAGTGGTACACCAGTCATATAAGACTCAAGTATACGACGAGTTTGTTATCCGCGAGAATACGGCTGTCATGAGGTGTCAAATGCCGACATTCGTTAGAGAGTACGTTAGGGTCGTTACCTGGCTTAAGGATGACTCCACACTCATCACCAGTTCCCTCAACAACGGTATGGGTATGTCATTATTATTGCATTTTCACATATCATGTATATTTAGTACTTGATATGATATATTGAATATTATTAATATTTATATCTTTATTATTATTTTTATTATAATTTCGATTACTATTGTATGCGTATATATGTGTAAGCGCTATATATCGCACATTAATATACAAAATAAATTATGTGATTATTATATGTATGTTATTTGCTTATCTCACACGTGATTATTATGATTAACAATAATCATGAATGTAATGATAATAGCAATAATAAATGATTATAATTTATATAGTATTTTGTTAACTATTGTTAATGAATACATTTTAATATAAAATAATAAATATCTTATATTTATAAAAAGAAGATTTTTTGGCATAAAAATATTATTATATAAATGACTTTAAAGTTAAATTCAAAATATTTTCACTTACGAATACTAACATAAGCATAAATACTACTAATGTATGAGATTTTAAATATTATTTGTTAAATTTTGAATACCTTTCACTTTAAATTATAAAACACATGAATATTTAAAAAATAATAGAAATAAAAAGTATAATATATTTCATTTGAAAAAAATGTTGTTTAATATAACTTTTTCATATATGAAAAATGTGTGCATTTTAGTCATTTATTCAAATTATTTAGCATTTATTATATATTAAGCACTGGCATGTTATGACATAACGCTAACTAACTTACACTGTAGTATAGGTTCACTCATATTACACAAACAATCACACAAAGTATATGTAAGTAATGTCTTGAAAATCATAAATAAATAGTGAAAAAGGAGTGAAATAAAACATATAGAAAACAATTGCCTCTTTCACAACACAATTATAGCATTTTGTTGTCCTTAAACATTGATATATAGCTATATATTTATAATATATGTATGTATTAATTCATGTGTGAGATGAGAAAGATATATATATATATATATATAATAATATAACAAACGGGCAAATGGTATGATTCATATGGATAGTGATGTATACCATATAGTAATATGTATAGCATTTATATGAATTAATTATCTCATACAAAGTCACATTCACTTAGAAAATGTTTTTTTTATTATTGTTAAGACAATTATTCTTTGATCGCATAAGTATTTCACAGAATATTCTTTCGCTAATTAAAAGTCAAGTTTTGTTTTTAATTAAAAAGACAACCAAAAGTTGTTACAATTATTTACTATCTCATTAATCACATATTTTTAAAAAATACAAATGCCTTTGTATAATAGATATGTTTGTGTGTGTGTGTGTGTGTGTGTGTGTGTGTGTGTGTGTGTGTGTGTGTGTGTGTGTGTGTGTGTGTGTGTGTGTGTGTGTGTGTGTGTGTGTGTGTGTGCATAATATTTAGTAAAAATTATAGAATTTTTTTTAATTAATTATAATATTTATAATTATTAAAATAAAAGTATGTTTTTTAAATAAAATAAGCAAAAATAATATCTGTAAAAATTATTAACAGATTATAATGAATTCAGTTTAATGAATACATTATGAAGTTATTATACATTATTTTAATTATTATTAATATTGTCTTATATTTGTAGAGCAATTAGCACTAATGTTAGCACAATATATAAATTATTAGACAAATATAAATCGTAAAACTTTGTAGACTTTTTTTGTTTCATTACTAATTAATATATTCAATACAAACAATGTTTGAAAGTAAGTTTTCACAATAAAATACTGACATTTATAAATGTTTAATAAATAACAAGTTTATATAAAATGTCTATAAAAATGGGTGATCAACACAACCAAAAAGAGATGATTAATTATCAATTAATTAACGACTAGTTTTGCAACTCATGCAGTCATCGGATAAATCTTTTTAAACCAATTATTATATATAAGTTGTCAACCATTTTGCCGTAAAAATTATTGATAATATTTATTATTTTATATAACGTTTAATCGTACTGTGTGTAAGTGTGTGTGTGTGTGTGTGTGTGTGTGTGTGTGTGTTGTGTGTGTGTGTGTGTGTGTGTGTGTTAACTAAAAGTGTTAGACTATGTATAGAAAATAATAGTGAAACCAAATTAAATCAAATCTCTCTTTTTTGTCCCAATTTTTTTCTCTTCAATAAATCGCTGATTTGTGTGAGCAGTATATATCTATATACTGTATATATATATATATATATATATATATGTGTGTGTGTGTGTGTGTGTGTGTGTGTGTGTGTGTGTGTGTTGTGTTTGTGTTTGTATTATATTGCACTCAATAAATAGTTTAGTCTTTATATATATATATATATTTTGATTTTGTTGTTGTGTTGCAAGCGATTGTATTATAAATAAAATGGCCAATAGTTATATCATAAGTCAAGAATTTATTGAACAACATATGAATTTTATTTTTTGCATAAAACATTCAAACATTAAAAAAATATTTCAAAGAAAATGGCAAATATTAATTGGAAATTGATTTTTTTGAATTATATTAAAAAATTAGTACATATATTGTGTATTACATAATATTGTATACAAAATTAATCGATTGAATCGATTGCCGATATATTGTAGAGAAATGAAAGTTAGTTTAATCATATATTAATCGTATTTTTATTTATTTTTTTCTTGTATATTATTAATGCAAAACATACTGTATATTAAAAATAAGTTATAATGTGTATACCATTACCCGCTAAACTGAAATCAATAGATAATTATCTTTGTATGCAAAATATTATAGATATTACATTAAAAATATGTTATCACTTGCTATTTATTATAAATAACATTTGTTTCGTATAATTGTAATTAAACATTTTGTTTTATGGTATTATTCAAAAAACTAATATTTTAATGTTATATGTTATAAATTAATATATTTATATTACAGAACAGGTATATTTAAAAAAACAATATTGAGTTTTCATATTTATGTATTTATGCTATCAATATATTTAATATTACTGTATTAAGTGTGTATATTATTTAGTATTGATTGTCATTAGTAAATCTAAAAATATTGAAATAACTAAAAAACAGAGAAAAATGTTTTATCAATTCATATGTTGTGCAATAATATGATAATATTTAGTATATGTACTGATTTTTGCATATAATGTCATTTCATTATTCAATTTTTTTGTGCTCTGAATATGATTTGTGGGATCTCTCACTCTCACTATATGTATGTATACTATATATCAATACATATACTCCAGTGCTGGGAATCATAACACACAGTAGACTCCATAAAAAACTGGAGACTAAAAAAACAATACATTTGCTAAAGAGTCTACACTTTTTTGTTGTTATGTATGACAATAATCTGAACATCAAATTATTCAAAACATCGAGTGATGGCATAAATCATATTTTATGGGCAATACTTTAGTTATAGTGTTAGGAGTGCTTTACATCCCGAGACAACAACAAAAATATATATCTTTTTTATTTATATATTATATTTATAACGATATATTTATAATACATATCTACATTCATGCAAAGCATTGATATAAATTTATATTACGATATTAGTAGTAGTGCTTTACTTTTTTTATTTTGTTTCGTTGAAAGCAATAAAATAATAGTGTATTTATGTTTTGTTTTTATTTTTACAAAAATTTTATGACACAGATTAAAGACATATCTATATATTTAGCTATAAATGTTAAGCTTTTATTATCATTAATCTAGAGATCTGAATCTCTATTTTTTATTGTAATGAGTTTTAGACTTTGATTTTGCAGTTACGTTACGGACAACATATACTATATTTATAACTATATATTTGCTATTAAACTGTTTTAAGCAATACATTAATGCAAACATTTTTGTTAACATTTGTCTGACACGCGATTATTTGTTATTAAAATTGTATAATATTGTATGGGTTTAAGTAAATAATATTATTTATGTCTTTGCATGTATATGACTGACCAATAACTTTGATTAAAAACTCTATTTATTATATAAATATACAAAATTAATACAAATAGCATTAATTTTTAAAATATATAAAATTATTTCAACTATTTTATGCTAAAATAATTAAATTATATAGAATTTTAAAATGTTATTTATTGCATATACAGTGTTATTATTATTAGTAAATGATAGAAGTATATTTTGCATTATAATAAATTTTAACACATAATAATAAATTAATATAAACTGAAAATTTTTATTAAACAAAATATGTATTATATATGGGAATACAAAATTGCAAAACAAGTCTAATAAAGTTATTCATTGGAAAATTTTTGAGGAAATAGTTTAAAATTTTGGCACATTTTCTACTATAACGCCAACACTTCATAAAACATATAACAACTCATATGCCATAAGGTGTGAGTGTGTTATTGTTTAGTGAATTGAAAATGATTTCACTGTTTTTGAACCGAAAATTTTATTGTCGTTTGAAATATTTGTGTAAATCATATATACTTTTTTTGTAGCAAATATTTCTTTATCTTTCAGTGAAATACTGCAAAAATATATATATATATATATATATATATATATATATATATATATATATATTTATTTATAAAAGTGTATTAAAAAGCTCACATATAAAAATAAATTTTAAAATAATCTAATTATACTTTATATATATACAGTTTATATATAGAAAAATGCATTTTTCCAATAAATATATTTAATAGATATATGTATATATATTAAATCCAATTATCACTTTTTAGTTTTATTTTTTTAAATTAACATTTTTATATTATTTCATTTAACAATAACAATTGTTTTTTATAATAAAATTAAGAAATTCACTATTTTTACAATTTATTAATATTTTTGATCATCAATACAAATCAGATAGTAAACAAATGATCTAGCTTACTTTATTATATTTATACCGGTATTTAACAATATTTATTAAATTAAATTATCGATCACAAATAGGTATACATTATTTTTTGGGCATCAATTTAATTATATTTTTAGTAAAAGATAAAAAATACTGTATTTATATAAAGTATATATTTATATGTGATAATATATAGATTAG